CGGTGCGCGGGTGGGCGGGGCGGCGCGCGGTGGGCGGGGCGGCGGCGGTCAGGAGGAGAAGCAGAGCCCGCAGCACTCCATGCAGATCTCCAGGCAGTCGGCCGACTCGCAGCAGGCGTCCACGATGCCGCAGTCCAGGTCGCAGGGCAGGTCGCAGTCGGCGCACTCGCCCGAGCCACAGCAGCAGCAGCAGCCGAGACACGAGTCCTCGGAGCTGCAGGAGCCGCACGTGGCGCAGTCGAGGACGATGTTGCACAGGGTCAGGAACTCGCAGAACAGGCAGGACAGGATGCAGTGGACGCAACAGTCTGCGGGCACGGGCGGGGGACAGGGCCGGTGAGACAGCCAGGGTTGAGGGACCCAGGCTCAGAGGGCTCATGGCCGAGGGCTCGGCGACTCTCCCACTGCTCCCACACGTGGGATTGCGAGGGGCCCAGCTTTCCAGCTGATGACCCCAAGGCACAGAGTTACATGCACCTGCCCAGTTAGCTGCAGAGCGAGGGATCTGAGCCCAGGCCGTCGGGATTGAGTCCCTGCTCTTCACCACCCTTAGTCATTTATTTACCAAACCCTCGTCGTAGCATGTCCCAGGCACTCTTCTAAGTGTTGGGCATGAATGAACCTCATTTAAACTTGCAACAACTCCGTGAGATGGGGCTACTATTAGCCCCACTTGACAGATGAAGAAACTGAGACACAGAGAAGTCGCTTCAGAATATATCCAGAATCCTACCATTCTGCCCGTCTCTCACCCAGGCAACTGCAACAACTTCCTCTCTGGTTGCCCCAGCCCCCACCCTTGACTACCCCTTCCTGCATCTACTCCCCACGCATTAGCCCAGAGGGACCCTTGCAGAACTTCAGTAGAGTGTGTCCCTCCTGTGCTCAGAACCCTCAGGTGGCTTCCACCTCCCTACGAGTGAGATCTGGTCTCCTCCCACACTCTGTCCTCCTGGATCACCCTGCGGTGGCCTTCCCTGACCACCATCTTTACTACTGCAACCTGCTGGCCCCACCCCAGCACCCTCAGCCCCTTGCCCTGGCCTGCCTCGCCTCTCCCCTGGAAGGACTTATCACCTTCCATGGCACTATGCGGCTCTCTCCTCCCACTAAAATGTAAGCTCCACAAGGACAGGTGTCTTTGTCCTTTGTAGTCACTGATACGTTACAAGTCCCTAGAAGGCGCCCAACATTGACGTGCTGAGTAAATAGATGGTAAGTGAATGAATGCATGAGTCTACCCGTGGGCAGCCAGCTGGTAAGTGGTGGAGCTGGGAATCGAAACCAGGCAGGCTGGCTCTGGAGCCTGCGCTCTGGGCTGCCAGGATGCTGAGCTGGCCTCCGTCCCGGGGGGCTGGGCATGCAGCGCAGCGTCCAGTTCCCCTGACCAGGCGGGCCCCTGGCACAAGGCTGCTGGTCCTGTGGGAGTCCCACACTGCCATGGAGGGCGTGACTCTGCCATCCCGTTTCTGTGTGGAGGGACTGGGGTCTCGTTTAGCTGGCACCCCTGCCATCTACCTGCAAACTGAACAAGGGCGTTCTCTTCAAATGCAAATCCAGTGAAGTCACTACCCCGTTTAAAATCCTTCAATGGCTCCCTATTGCCATCCAAATAAACTTTTTTAAGAGAGAGAGAGAGAGCACGTGCCTCGAGCGTGTAGGGGGTGGGGGGCAGAGGGAGAGGGAGAGAATCTTAAGCAGGCTCCACACCCGGCTCGAAGCCAGAGTCAGGACTCGATCCCCTGACCCTGAGATCATGACCTGAGCCGAAATTCAGTCAGACCCTTAACCGACTCAGCCACCCAGGCACCCTATGCCCTCCAGATAAAGTCTAGGTCCAGTGCACAGTTTACAAGGTGCCTTCACCCCCACAGCTCCTGCCCGCTTGGACTCTCACCTCCCCCCATTCCTCACCTAGAATTTCATAATCTAGCCAAGATAGCCTTTCTCACTTCTGTGCTAATCCTCCCCCCGCTAGATCCTCCTACTCACCATTTAAGTCTTGCTCAGACCTCCGGAGCTTTCCCAGACTCCCCTCCCCAGCTTTCTGGGCTGGTGTGGGTGTCCCCTGTGTTTGCATAACCTCCTGTGTGTGGCTTTACCACATTTATCACCCCATATGGTGATTACCTGTTTGTCTTTCTCATGAGAGCTTTGTGAGGCCAGGGACTGGGTACCCAGCGCATAGCACAGTGCCTGGCGCACAGCAGATGCCCAGTACATTTTTAAATGAATGGACATTCCTTTCATAATTAAGACTGTTGGGCAGAATCTTCTCTAGGAAGGCTGATGAACATTTTACGTGCAAATATGTCCACTGAATCCTGTTTGCAGAAGACCACGCTGGAATCCCCCAGTGTGGACAGGATGCACTTAAAAATTCTGGGGTGAAGGTCAAGCACCACTGAGCTATAGGCAGCTGTCACCCTCTCGGAATTAATGGCCGGGGCGGGGTAGGGAAGCTGGCTGCCCAGGGCGGCCCGGCAGGGGACCCTTGTATTGCAGGAACAATGGCTGGTGTATCTGGGTTCCCTGCCTTCCCACCGGCCTGCGCAGCCCTCGCCACACCCTCAGTTAAGTATCCAAAGGTGCATCATTTTATTCTGCAGGTATTCCGCTCTCACTAAACAGGCGGTCCATGCCTTAAGGAAAATTTTGTTTCCAGAAATGGAGTGGCTTACGCTGGCTCAGCCCAGATGGTTTCCTTCCTTGTTACAGCAACTCTGGGAGAGCATGGACGGGAAGGGGTTGGTCTTGAGAAGGCAGATAGGCCTCACTTTCCCCAGCAGGTGTAGTTGGCCAGATTCCCCGGAGGCAGTGTTAAAACCTGGACTCCTGGGCCCCACCCAGAGGATCAGATCCAGGCCTGGCGTGGGGCTGAGCCTGCGCTTCTAACGAGCAACCTGCTGAAGATACTGCGGCTTGTCCCTGCCTCGTGCTTGGAAGGGTCCTGCTTGGAGGGGCCCGGCTCAGGGAGGGGGGGAGGGGATGCTTACCTTCCTGTGCCTGGAGGGGTATCTGGGAGGCAGTAGATTTGGTGCTGCCCTTGCTCTTCTTGCTGCCCTGGCTGGCGAGAGATGGGTGCGTCTGCAACTTCCGGTGGGCCTTGGGGCCACCCAGGGCACCATTCCCCGCTCGCCTGGCGCTGCCCAGCTCTGAGGGGTGGCCTGAGCCATTCGCCACTAGTGGGGTGCAGCTCAAGGGGTTCCCCTGAGGCTGGCCTAGAGAGATGATGAGAAAGGTTAATGGGGGTGGGGAGCGCACGGCCTCCCAGAGCTCTGCCCCAATCCTGCCTGCTTCAACCTTAGATACGCCACAGGTCACCTAGCCGGGCTTGTATTCTGCACATGGGGAAACTGAGGCCCAGAGAGCAGAACTGACTTGCCCAGAGGCACACCAGGAAATAGTTGAGTTGAGCCTGGCTCCTGACCCCCAGGCCAGTGCTCATTCCAGAAGAGACAGAGGTGCAAGGCGACAGCGGGGGGCTCAGAGCCCTGGACCCCACCTTCTTACCCCATGTGAAATCCATCTCCTGCTCTTGGGGTCCTGGGGTTTTAGCAAGAGTGGCGGTCGGTCAGGGGGGAGGGATTAAGGACTGTTTGGCTGGGGGGCGGAGGGACAGCAGTGAAGCGTTAACCTTCACCTCGGCCCCTGCCAAGCCCCCAGATATTTTTGCCCTTGGTGTGCTGGGTGATTTATTGGAAACATCTGTTTGGAGATGAATGCCCTGGCCCTGGGCTCCAGGGGTGCCTCAGAGCAGCCCCTCTACCTCTTCTCTTCCACCCCAGCTCCCCTGTCCTGTCTGACTCTGCGGGGTGGCTGGCAGAACGAGTCTCCTGGGGAGCCCTGGGGGTCTGGGTGAGGGGGGAGAGAAGGGAGGAGAGGCCTATGGTGGGGGATCCCCAAGGCCAGGAACTCCCTGAGTCCCCATCCCAGGCTGAGGAACCAAACTTCAGCTTCATCAGTGGGGTCCAGGGAATGCTGGCCCTAGGGATCCCCCCAAAGCCCTAGGATCCCTTTCCTTACCTCAGGTTTGCTCACCTGGATGACATGGTTCTGTCTGCAAGAGATGGGGGCAGATACGTGTGTGTGTGTGTGTGTGTGTGCGCGTGTGTTTGGGGGAGGGGACTGAGAAGGTGACAGGGAGAACCCTGGGCCCCCTCAGCCGCTCAGGGCTGTTGGCTCCTGGGTGGGACCCTCTGTAAATGCATAAATGTTGGGCACTTCCATCTCTTAGGCACTGGGGTGTGGGTCCCTGACTCCCTCTAGGCCGGGCCCCTGGGTTTGCATCGTAGTACGAGGAGGTGTCTGGGGGGGCGGCTGGAGGCTGAGGAGAGGGGTAGGTGGCCTCAGTGCTTGCCCTGACTGAGAGGGCCAGGCCTTCTACGAAATGGTTGTGGTGACAGCATATCACGGAGTACTTCCTGCTTGCCAGCCCCCCTTCTAAGTGCTTCACATGCCATTCTCTCACGAACCCTCTCAGTTTCTCCCTGAGGTGGTATCCACCTTTCACAGATGAGGAAACTGAGTCCCGGAGAAGCACAGCAACTTGTCCAAGGTCCCACAGCTAGAAGGGGTCAGACGTGGGCCCAGCCTGGAGGCCAAGAGCTGGGACTCAGAGCGCAGAGCGGGGCAGAGGCTGGGAGATGAAGGACTGGGGACGAAGCTGCTCCGATCAGTCATCCCTCGTCTTATAATTCGTACCTTACACGTTAGGCTGCTATTAGATGCCAACAGCGTGCCGAGAGCTTTCTGTAGAGCAGCTTCTTCACACATCTCAATAGATCTACTGTCATTGGCCCCATTTCACGGATGAAAAAAATGGAAACCCAGAGAGGGTAAAACTTGCCCAAGGTTCCACAGCTAGGAAGTGGAGCGGGCGGACAGTGTGGGGGGGGGGATGGAGGTTGGGAGAAAGGCACCGAAGGCCAGGTGGGGAGTCAAGAGAGGATGGGAGACACAGCTCTGGAGAAGCTCCATGCTGGGAGCGTTTGGCCCTGAGGTGTGGCTGGTGCCTGCATCTGGGTAAACAGGGGTAAGGCCATGGCAAGCAGCCAGGCCTGAATCATCCTGCTCTCACCTCTTGGCCCCACGGCGGGAGACTGGCCTGAGTCCTTGGCCAGCTTCCGTGCCCCCTGCCCCGATGCCTAAACATGGGCACAGTGACCGGAGGGTGGGAGTGTGTGGTGAGCTGAGGGCCCTGGGAGGTTTGGACAGACACAGAACTTGCCTGTGGCCATGGCCGTGGGGGTGGCCATGGGGGCTGAGTCACAGAGCAAACACTCGGGCCCATAGACACAGAGGTGTCTGTCCAACTCCCATCTAGGCCCCCTCCTCTGTGGCCATGGCGCTGACCTCTTTCTCTCAGTTCTGCTGGTGGGTGTGTCTAGAGGAGGCTGAGGGCAGTGCGCTAGCAGGATTTAGTAACCCTGACTTCCAGGGAGTCCAACTTAGCCCCAGATGCCCTGGCTGAAGGCGGCTCCCCCTCAGCCATGCCAGCTGAGCAGGCAGGCACAGGAAAGAGCCCTGGGCCAGGAGACCTGAGTTCCCCAGCTGTGTCCAGGCTGAGTGGGTCTGCGTGCCTCAGTTTCCTCATCTGTAAAATGGACTTGGCACTTGCTGTCCTGTACAGGCTGGTTTGAAGAGTCTGAGATCAGTCAGGGAAAGAAAGTTGGAAAGTGCAAAATGCAAGATTTTGTGGATCTTCTTATTAACTACAAACAGCTCTGGCTGCCCCTTCCCCACCCTTGAGGGTGAGGGCAGAGAACTCTCTCCCTCCCAGGACCTCCCTGGGGGCCTTGAGCCAAGCCTGGGAATAGGTCGTTTCTGCTCAGAGTAACTGGGGGCTTCTCTCTTTCCTTTTCACCCTCGATACCCTGAAGGGTGGGGCTGCAGGGGGCTCTGGCTCTGGGGCCTCAGCACCTCCAGCTCTCTTCCTCCTTTCATATGGTCCCACGCCCTCTGCTCTTGAACCATATTGCCTGGAGCCTGTCCACCCTCCTTGTGAACCAATGTTATACTAATCATTTTGTATGTGGAGGTCTCTTTCCTAGACAGAAAGGACAGTGACCGTGTCCTACACCTTTTCGCTGCCCACACTTCAAGGTTCTGGCCCAGTGCTAGGCTCCCATGGGCACCCACTGCATTTCCACCAGCCCATAGGGATAGGATTCCCTAGCACGACCCCCACGTGTTGCCATTCCCACCCCTCGGCCCCCTAGGACTCACATGTCACAGCGTCTGTGGGGACATCGAGGTCAGTACTGTCCAGGGGCTGAGGGGCCCCAGGGCCATTGCCCTGGGGCATGGGGGATGCCGCTTCCTCCAGAGAGCCCTCCTCTAGCGCTGCCTCCACAGGGTGAGTGGATCCGGTTACTACCTCCAGCCCAGGCAGGAGGGATGGGGTCTGGGCTAGAGAGAAAGCACATGACCAAGGTATATTTTCCAGTGCCCTCCTGTCTGCCCAGCCCTGGTCCCCTTCCCGCAGCTCAGAATGCCATAAGCCCTCATTCTCGGCCTCTTTGTACCAGCTACCCAGCCCTTACCCTATCTGGCAATGGTGCCAGGCTCCAAAATAGAAAGCTCCCAAAACGCAAGCCAGGAGGGATCAAGGGTATGTGTGTATATGTGTGTATACGAGTGTGTGCGCGTGCGCACTTGGGTCTGTGTGGTTGTCAGGGAGAGGGGCCAGAGATGTGCAGCAGAAAGGGACGTGGGGAGAAACACGGCGCAGGAGAGGACAGACAGATGGCCAGTGATGGACGGACAGGGACAGGCATCCAGAGTGACAGGAAGAGGGAAAGAATCAAAGGGCCAGTGAAAGGCAGAAACCGAGAGAGATGGCATCAGAAGGCGGGATTGGGCGCCGAAGGAGGGAGCCCCAGAAACCCTGAGACAGACAGCTTGGGACGGGAGGGAGACTCAGCAGAAAGTGAGGGGGAGGCAGGAAAGGATGGGGACAGAGGCAGAGGTGACAGAAAGGGGAGTATGGGGCAGGCAAGGGCGAGAGGGACACACAGGGAGAAGCCAGGTCAGAGAGGATGACAGCAGGGAGGGAGAGTCAGAAACCTGGGGTGAGGAGAAGGATGGGCCCGAGGCGGAGGGGCCAGGCAGGAAGAGAGGCAGGGAGCCGGCCCAAGAGGCTGGGAAGAGGCAGACCACAGCCACACGTAATTACAGTGACTGGCTCGACCCCTCTATGCAGGGTGGGCGGAAGGCAGAAATGGAGCCTCCTTCAAACCCACAGCTCCTGAGGCAGCAGGACTAGGGCCCCCTGGGGCCAGGGGGAGGGGAGAGATTGGGGGGGATGGGAGGTGGGGGAGGGAGGCAGCAAGGGACCTGAGCTCCCATCCCTTGGTGTCACCAGGGATGTAGGAAGGCCTGAGGGTGAGCAGGGAGGGTGAGGTCAGGGATCACGGGGCCCAGGGCCAGGCCGGCAATTACAGGGTGCAGGGTGCACCCCAGGCCTCTCATCAGACCCCAGTTGTGCAGTCCGGGGGACGGGGGCTTCGAGAGGGTGTCCCCCCCATATGCCATGTTGGGAGCAGGGGAGACACAGAAACGAGGGACTCAGAAAGACGCAGAGACCACAAGGGAATAGGGAGAGGAGAGCCACAGGCAGTCAGAGAAGGAAGAGAAAGGGCAGGAACCCAGGGACTAAAGGATCACCACCCGCCTGTGCACACCACACAAAGTGACCAAGAGAGAGACACGCCCAGGGCGACCGAGAGATAGACAAAGACTAGTCTTGGAAATAGAAACAGACTCAGTCACAGAGAACACAGGGGCCTCCATGCACTGGCCTTCTCTGAGCTGTCTCCAAATGAAGCCCAGCCAAGACAGGACGCAGGAAGCCACCATCAGGAAAGCCAATGAGGGCGGGGCAGGCAGGTCTGGGGCCTGGGAGCAGCCTGAGGGGAGGGGACCATCCAGGGGCTCAGCTGCCCCCCTGGGCCCTGAGCAGTCCTTGTTCCAGAGATTCCCTATCCCCCACAGCCCGGGGAACCAGGCCCCAGGGGACCCAGGTAGGTAGTTCACACCTGCCTGGGAAAACCACAGGCCCTTTGCAGAGACAGGAGCTGGGGTGGGAGAAGGGCACAGAACTCCTGCAAGCTCAGGAGGGTGGCAGAGTTATAGGCTGGGCACCCCTCATGGTGACCCCGGCCTCTCCAGGGAGGGAGGGGTCGGTTCTGTCCTGCCCCATCCAGTCTTTGGGCCAGTTGAGAGCCCCCTATCTCCTGGGTTCATGAGAGAGGAGTCAAATGGCTTTTGGAAGATCACAGGGCTGGGGCAAGGGGACCAGGGGAGCCGAGATGACACACAGGGCGGAGGGAGGAGCGATGCCTGCTGGATGGTGCCTCTCCCAGCCCTGAGCCTGGGCTACTACAGCTCAGCCATGGCTCTTGGGGGCTAATACCAAGCTGGCACGAAGAGGGAGGCTCAGGGCTTGCTCCAGATTCCTAGGAAGGGAGGGGCCTGCCCAGTTGCAGCCTCTGGCCCTTAGAGGCACCGTGCCATGGCCCTGACGGGTAGCACTGTCTCTCCCATGTGGTGTAATGAGAAACGCCTGAGCGAGGAGCTGGAAGACCCAAGCCCTGGCTTTTATCAGTAGCCTACTTGGGCAAGTTACCAGGACTCGTGTTTGCTTGTGTGTAAAGGGTGGTGGTGGGGGAGGGGGGATCCTTATGCTTATCCCTCAGGGTTTCCAAGAGTAAATGAAATGCTCAGCAGTGCCCCAGAACGCAGGGGGCCATTCATGAACCTTCTGTCTACCCACCTTCTTTCCTCCTTTCCTTCCTTCCTGCCTGCCCTCCGCCTTCCCTCCCTCCCTCCCTCCCTTCCTGTGCTGTTTGGTTTAATATTTATGAAGCAGCTATGATGCCCCTTGCAATATGTCAAGTGCTGGGTAGACCAAAACCAGGAAGAGGAGGTCACTGTCTCAGGAGTCATCTGTGAGGGGTGGGGGGCAGTCACATACACCGAAGGGCAAGAGGTGCACCAGGGCTGTGGGGGCACAGAAGCTGGGCACTCATTCCAGGGGTGTGCGTGCACGTGTGTGTGTCTGGGGGGCTTCCTGGAGGAGGCAGTGCCCACATTGGGTCTTGAATGATAATCAATCAGCAAAGAAGGGGGAAAGAACGTTTCGAGAAGGGCAGCAGACGCCAACATCCCAGGGTGAGCGGCTGCAGCATGAGCAAGGGAAGCCACAGCCGTTTGGTGGTGTTGAGGCTGGAGAGCCTAGAGAACTGGGGCCTCGTGGTCGCTTCGCAGGCTCCCTCCTGAGGTCACTGGGGTGCACAGGGATGACACCATCGGTCCTATAGTAGAAGGAGCCAGGATTGCAGCTCTCGTGGCCCCCCTCCAGGGTGGGAGAGGGATGAAGGCGAGACAGGGGAGTTAGGGGGACTGGTCCCCATCTGCGCCCTCCTCCCCCCATGTCGCCACTCTCTGGCAGCGTCTCCTTGTAGGTCACCTACAGGGCTGGTGACCTGGAGGCCAGAGGGGACAAGCAGTTAGAGAGCCCAGACCAGGTCCCGAGGAGACCCTCCTGCAGGGAACCTGCCGTTCTAGGGCGAGCTTCAGACCTCGGAAGGGTATCAGGGAGGTAAGACAATCCAGTCCAGTCACCTTGACCCGGAAACACGGAGACACAGGTCTCCTGGAGCCAAGAGGTGACCCTGCAGATGTGACACTGAGGGCCTAAGAGGAACCCGTGCTGAGTGGCTGGAGACATGGAAGCAGAATGAGAAGGCATTAAGAAGTGGTGGGAAGACCGGAACTCTGAACGAGAGGTACTACCTGGAGGGCCCAGTGCCAAGAAACAGCTCTCCCTAGAAGCCCACAGAGCAGAGAAGTCAGACAACAGGGGGAGCCCCAGGGCTCAACCATCAAGAGACCAAAACAGCCTCATTTTCCTTCCTGTGACCATGAGCCCCCACTGTTCAGCACAGAGGGGAGAACATCTCTGTGGAGAAGCTCCCAGAGGAATGTTCAAGAGGGTAGAGATGCGGAGTGCGCTGGAAGGAAGTGGAGGCCAGCAAAGGCCAAGGGCTCCTGTATGGATGTGCAATTCATGTTTGGCATAAAGGCACCTGCCCAGGCTGGCAGGAGTGCCTGGTTAGGGCCCCATCCTCCCCGGAGGCGCCATCTGCCTGCCCAGCTACGTCCCTGCTCCGTGTGACCAGAGGGTCACACATGCCCTGTCACACGGCATCTCTGAGCAGAAGCCTCTGCCCTGCACCTCTTCTAGGGTCTCCATCTACAAGAGGGGAATATAGAAAGGCAGCAGCCCCTTATGCCTCAACACACTTTGTTCCCTAACACGGGATAGGGTTGGAGCCAATGCCCTGAGTTCTGGAAAGATCTCCCAGCAGGGAGTGGAAACGTGCTGTTTAAGTCCACAAGCCCGGGGCGCCTGGGTGGCTCAGGTGGTTAAGCGTCTGCCTTCAGCTCAGATCATGGTCCCCAGGCCCTGGGATCGAGTCCTACGTCGTCAGGCTCCCGGCTCAGCAGGGAGTCTGCTTCTCCCTCTCCCTCTGCTTTTCCCTCTGCTCGTGCTCGCTCTCTCACAATCAAATAAATAAATAAAATCTTAAAAAAAATAAATTAATAAGCCCAGGAGGGAAGGCCAAGAGACTCACAACTTCAGCAGGAACCCTGTTGAGTTCCTTCTGGCCGCCTGCTGTCCACCAAGGTGAGGGGTGCTCTTGGGACAAGGAATGGGGGGACCTCTTCTAGGTGGGATGGGTTCACTCCAAGCCTGGAAAGTGCCCACAGGACCCTTGTTCTGGAGCTCCAATCTCTGGTCACTCAAACCCAGATTTCTCCATGGTCTTGTGGACAGTGGATCTAAGCTTCCCCTTGGAGCTTTGACCATCTCTGGAGAGGGCCAGGATCTCTCTGCTCAGAGAGTAGTGACTGAACTCCACACTCCAAGCTCTCCTTGGCCTGGCATTCAAGGCCTCAGCTGACATCTTCAACCCGATGAATGGACAAGGATCCTGTGTTCCAGGCAGCCTGACCTCTCCATGGCCCCAGGTCACCACCGGGCCTTTTGAGCAATCCACCCATGCTTATGCTTACATGTCTTCTCTTGACCAGAAGGTTCTAACCCTCTCCTCTCTCACTCCCCAAATCCAACCTATCTTTCAGGCCTCCCCAGCTTGCTCCCTTGGGATGGTGGCAGAATTCACCCCTGCACCCCCAGTGGGCACTCAGCAAGTGTCTATTGCTGAGGACTGAATCCTGGATTTGGGAATGCCCCAGGTCAGGGGCAGAAGAGAGAATGAGGGGGTGAGGATTAGGGGTGGCACTTGGCTCCAAACCCCAAGGAGGTGAGAATTTGGGCTCACTGGATGCGCCCTTGTGACACACCAGTCCCAGTCCCAGTCCCCGGGCTGAGGACTGAAGAGGGCTTGAGCTGGCCAGTTAGGCTGGGTCGGGTTGGTCTTATTTTAGGTCTGAAGACTCCAATTCCCCAGGAAATTCAATTTAGAACCAAGAGCAGGAATGTGACGCCTCAGTGCTGGACAGAAATCTGCTGTGGGTTAGGGAGCCAGGCTCTCCGGGGCTCGCAGGGGTGGGTGGAGAGGAGGCACTGGCGGGGAGCCAAGGGTGTGGGGGCTTGGCCACCTGCCCCAATCAGAGGTGCCCTGAGTCTCCTTGCACCCTGTCTGCATCTTGGGCAGCTGAGGGCGGGGGGGGGGGCCTTGCTCCCTGGCTGTCCTGCCAGCCAGGCCCCCCAGGGGCAGTGCTCAGGCCCTGCTCTTCTGTCGGCACTCAGCAGGGAGTGTGGGGGATTCTGGTCTCGGCTTCAGGCGTCTGTGGGGTTTTGGCTGGGTCTCCTGCGGTTTGGGCTTCCTGGGCAGTAGGGCTCATTCTCCCAAGGCGGCAGAGCCAGGCCTCTTCGAGTTATGAAAGCCACATTGTCTGGCCCAGCCCAGGCTGGGGAGGGGGCTCTCTGGGCCTCTGGAGGGTGTGAGGGGGCGCCTCAAGTTACAGCCTAGGGCTTTACCCCTCCAGGTGGCCCACCCTGCCCCAGCACATTAAGTCCCTCCTCTCCCTGATGGGACTCAGAATGGGTCACACGGGGCAGTAGATCTTGCAAGGAGGTAGCGGGGGAGAGAGCAGAGAAGAATAAGCGGAGAAAGAAGGCCGGGCGAAGGGAGAGGGTGGGAGAAGAGAGGCCCAGAAAGTGAGGAGGGGTGAGAGAGGCCAAGAGGGAGAGAGGCTCCCAGACACAGAGAAAGATCCTTCCCGGTCCCGCCCCAACCTCTCTCTCTCCAGGCTGAAGAAGTCCACTTCTTGGAGGAGCTCATTCCCCAGAAGTCTCTGCTCCAGGGGCCCCACCAAGAGGAGAGGATCTGAGGGCTAGCGGGGATACGCAGCAGACACATCAGTCCCATGTATGCGTTGGCCCTTGGCCAGCCATCTCCTACTTGTCCTCGCTCGGCTGTAGGAGCCGCCCCACCAGGCCAGGCCTGGGCGTGCAGCAGGTAGATGTGGGGAGCCCACAGCCTCTCCAACAGGCACACCGGCCCCTGTGGGCAGATGTGGAGACAGAGGCCAGAGAGGGGAAGTAACTTGTCCAAGGCCATGCAGGGAGTTAGTGTCAGAGGTCCAGTACCCGACCTTCTTATTCAGAGACTCAAAGAGGGGAGAAAGGGAGGAAGGCAAAAGAATGAGACTAGTCTACAGCTGGGACTGAAGTCCCAAAATCTGGGCCTAGACTCCTGCTCTCCACCCCACTGCCCCTGAACAAATCCCTGCTGCTCCTGACTTCTCCCTGGCCCTGTGTGCCGCCGTGAGCCTCAGCTTTCATGGGCACAGTCAGGAGAATGGACTGAGAACCACAGTCCCAGGGTGCTCACCCTATACCCCTCAGGGAGGCACAAAGCCTTCCAGGGTTGGGAGGCTCCTGCAGGAATCCCAGAGGTTACAAACCCTGCGAACTGGGGGTAGGGGCATTTCACTCCGGCTGTGGGCACTTGGTTGGAGTGGGTGTGCGTGTGTATGTGTATGTGTGTGTGTGTGTGTGTGTGCGTGTGCACGCGTGCGCGCGCCTGCAGGGTGGGACCGGCCGGGACAGGCCAGGCCCGGGTGAAGAGGAAGACCAGGGAGACAAGATGGCAAGGAGGGGAGGGGCCGGGTCCTGGAGCCGCTCTCTGCGGACAAAAGTTTTCGGGAAGCGCTAGACTCTCGTTGGGTTGGGGGAAGGGAAGGAGAGAAAGACTCAGACACCCCAAGCCCCGCCTGAGGCCCCCATAAATATTTACACACTGGGCAGAAACGGTTGGGACACAAATCCCAGACGGACAGACACCGCGCTGTGTGTGTGTGTGTGTCTGGTATTGGGAGTGGGGGTAGTTGGAGCCAATTTGGCGCAGCCGCCGTCTCCATTCGGCCCTGCCCCCATCACCCCAGCCCTCCACTCTCCTTGGACCCGGTCCCCGATACCCAGATACCCAGTCTCCTTACCCCCACCTCCACCCAAGCTCCCCAGAACCGTCTCCCCGCGTCTCAGGGAGGAGGAGTGAGAATTAGCAAATCCCCCCACCAATTCCCCCAACCCCCATCCCCCTCGCCGCCCCCCCCGCACCCCGGCCCGGCCGCCTGCCCCCGCTCCCTTCCAGCCTCGCTCTCCGTCCGCGGTCCTACCTGGGCCCGGCGCTGCGCTGGGGGCTCCATGGGGCGCGTCGCAGTGAGGGGGGCGCTGGCCACTCACCTGGGACATCGGCCCGGGACCTGCAGAAAACAGAGCTCAGCGGGCGGGGCCGACCGTCCCCTCGCGCGAGCAGGGGAGAGGGGGACGCGCAGGGGGTGATCCGGCCGCAGGCGCGCGCCTCCCCCCTTTCGAGCGCGGCCACCGACCAACTCACTCGTGCAAGCTGCGCTCTACTCGCTACTCGGGGATCACCGCGCAGGGGCTGCCATGTGCGCCTGCGGAGGGCGCCCCAGCCGAGGGGCCGCTCGGCTCCTCGCCGCTCGCTCCGCGCCCCCTCCCCTCTCACTCGCTCCTTTCTCCCATTTCGGCGCCAGCTCGCGCCGCTCGCCCCCTTCCTTCTTCCTTCTCTCTCTCCGGCCCCCTCGCTCCTCCCCCTCTCGCCTCTCCCCTCCCCTCTTCCCAGGCCCACCCTCTCCTGCGTTCCTCCAGCCCTCACCTCGGCCTCTCCGATCCCAATTAGTCGGGCTCACGCTCAGCACGGCCTCGCCGCCGCCGTGGGCCAGGATGGCCTCCTTGTCCTTGCGGCGCGCCAGCTCGCGCCGCTCGCGGAGGCCCACGTACCAGCCCACGCTGAAGCCGGACACCACGGCGCCCACCACGAAGGCCGCCACCGACGACGTCACCAGCAGGTTCACCGACACCAGCCCGGCGCGCTCCTCTGCCAGGCTGGCCCGCAGGAGTCCTGGCCGGGAGCGCGGGCCGCGTGAGAGGGGCCGCGGGGGACGGCCCGGCCCCCGCCTCCCGCCGCCTGGGCCCCTCTGGCTGCGCGGCGGTCCTCTCCAGAGTCGGCCCGTCCGTCTGTCCGTCTGCTTCGTGGTGTCTCTGTGTCCCCTTCAGAGCCTCTGTCTGCCTGTCTGCTGGGGTCTGTGTGTCCTCTCCCAGGTCTGTCTGTCGGCTTCGCGGCCTGTCTCTTGGTCTCTCTCTGTCCCTCCCCTGCCACCCCTCCTGGAAGTGGGACCCCTGGCCCTCCAGTGCCCTGACCCAGGCCACCGCCCTCCCCCAGCCCCCTCTCTGGGCCTGGGCAGCAAAGGGCACTAGGAGAACGCTGGTGGTCCCCAGCGCCCCTGCCCTCCCACACTGCGCTTACCTGTACAGTCCCCTAAGCCTGAGGTGCTGGCCCCGGACACGTCCTGCTCAAAGGTGCCTCTAACAGGGGTAAGAAAGGCAGTCAGCAGAAACCTCTCCCAGCCTGGTCATCAGGTGGGTGAGACACCCTCCCCTAGGCCCTCTCCCCCAGTACCTGGCGCCGGGGCTGAGGAAGATGCAGGAACCATCAGGGGCCCACCCGCAGTAGGGGTCCTGACTGCCGATACAGTTCCTAGAGCAGACAGGTGACCCCGCGGGTCCATCAACCACAGTCCCCTACAAGGTACCTCTGACTGCCAGTTCCGGGACTCCTTGTGACAAATCTTTGTGCTAGGGGCTACTAATTCCCCGCTTTCTAGATAAGGCGCAGGACAGTTCACTTTTGCCCAAGTGGGAGCCCAGGTGTCGTTATTGCCATGATGGCGGGCTCAGGGAAGGATTTCTCCGTGTTGAGCGCTCACGCTGAGACTAGGGGCGCACCAGAACTTTACATCCGATCTTGCCACCCGTTTTAACGGCAGGGAGACAGCTGTCTCCCTGGTCCCCAGCTGTTGCTCCTGCTGCTCTTAAAGATGTCAGTCAGATCTCATACAGCCCTCTGCCCACAGCCCTCCAGGGCTCCCACCTCTGAGAGCCCAAGTCTCCCCCATGGCCCAGAGGACCCCGCCCCTGCACAACTGCCCCACTCCCCTTGCTGTCTTCCCCTCTTCCCTCTCTCCCGCGCGCTCACTCTGCTCCAGCCAATCGGGCCTCCTTGCTGTTCTTCCAACATAAAAGGCCCGCTCCTGCCCCAGGGCCTTTGCACGAGCTGTGTCCTCTGCCTGGCTCATGGGCTCATCGTTCAATGAGTCAGGACGCTGTTGGGCCCTGGACTTGAACTCGGCTCTCCCGGCCTCCCATGCTCATTTCCCCTCGCCTCCCCCTCACCTCCGCAGCCTGCGCCAGGGGGCACTCACTTCATGCACCCTGAGTGCTGCTGGCAGCGGGCCACGGGCACGCGGACCACACAGCGGGGGAAGGCTGCTAGCAGGCCACCTGAGGCTGTGTCCAGCTCCAGGCTCAAGAGCCGCCGCCCTGCCTCGCCGCCGCCCGACCGTCCACACCTGCGGGTGAGCAGATTGGCAAGACTCGAGGGCGAGCCCCGTCTCCCCGCCCACCGGTCCCACCTCCCGACCTCTGCCCACTTCACCTGTCTGGCCGGTAGGTCTCAAACTCCTCCAGGAAGACACTGGGCCCAGTGGTGCCCGAGGTGCTGGCGTTGGGCCAGATGAGGAACTTGAGGACGGTGCCCACCTCGGAGCCCAGGAAGACAATGGTGTGGTTGCCCCAGGGGCCAGCGCCCACGTCCACAGCCACTCGCGTCAGCTGGTGCCTGGGGCCAGGGTGGGCAGGGGTTACGCTGGTCCCATAGCCCCTGCGGTGCCCTGGGCATGTGTAGAGACACCACCCATGCCAGGCGGGGGCACATCACAGAGAGACAGACCCCCAAGCTGGACCCCAGCCTGGGCCTGTCCCCCCTTCACCTCTCTCCCCCCGCCCCCCCGTCCCCACCACGCGGCCCTGGGTCGCTGCATACTCAGCTGTCTGGAGGGCCTGACTGCAGCAGGACCGCTCTCCGCCTTCCCCCTCATGCCCACAGGTGGCCCCCTTCTTCCTCCCCACCCACCACCCTGTCACCACCCACTGGCCCACCGGACCCCAGCCATGCACGGGGACTGACCGCATTAGAGTCCGCACGATCCAGGGCGCGTGGCCCAGAGAGGGCACCGCTTCGTCCATCAGGGGGTGGGTTTTGACAAAGTTGAGGATCTCATCGGGGAAGGCGCTGGAGGCGTTGTACCGCATGCCAGGAGCTGCACAGCACCCGGGTCTAGGTGGGGAGGAAGCGGTGGTCAGGGTGGCCTCGCGCATCCCTACACAGGGGCTCTGATTTGCCGGGGGACCTGCTGCCCTGCAGAAAGGGCCTCAGTCTTCTGCATCTGTGTAATGGGTACAGCTGAACTCAGCCCCACAAAATCCACCTGGAAGTCCCAGCCCTTTGTCCTAGGGTCAGGACACCCCACCTGGGTACCTGGTTCAGGATCAAGGGGGCTCTCACCGGGGCCGTGGCACCTGATCCTCCGGCACGGGTGTCCAGATGGACTCAGGGGATTTCTGCTCACGGAAGCGGCCTTCAAACACAGCGGCCACCTGAGTCATGTCAAAGGCGCAGACAGCCGAGCCAGGGATGCTGGGGGAGTTAGGGGAGAGGCAGTGGTGAGCCTGGTGGAGGGCACTGCCTTGGACAAGTGCACTGGAGAGCCTTTGTCCCGGTGAAGCTGTTAGATGTTCCGTACCCTGGGCCAGAGATGCCACCCATCCACTCCAGTCACTCTGCTTTCTCAACAGGGCTCAGACTGGACCACAGGCTGGCTCCTCCATGGCCACCCGTGTCCCTCCATGGCCACCCATTGTCACTTGCCTGGACACCCAGGCTCCCAGATGTCACTCTTGCCCCCTTTCAACCCATGCCCCAGGGGGCTTTCCAAAAATGCACATCTGACCTTGTCTCTCTTCTGCTCCTCACTCTCCCATGGCTCCCTAGAGCTCTCAGGATACAGTACAGGCTCCTCCCAGTGGCTTTTCACCTCTCTGCCCTCATATCCTCTACTCTCCCCCTTGCCTCCTCCTCTCCAGCCACGGGGGCCTCCTCCCTATTATTTAAACACACCAAACTCACTGCAGCCTCAGGGCCTTTGCACATGCTATTCCTTCAACTTGGAATGCTCTTCCCTCTCCTGCCATCTCACACCCATTGGTGGCTCGTTCCAATGTCCCCTCCTCCAGGAAGCCCTCTTTGACCCCCCCCTTCTAAAGGCAGAAGATGAGGACACCCCCCATCTGGCCCCTTCTGACCAAAGGGCCATGGAGGGTCAATAGCTGGCTTTGTCCCACCCCAGTCTGGGGCTGATGCCGCTCGGGAGTCCAATCTCGCCCAGCCCAGGACCCAGGGAATATATGATGAATGTGGGAGCTCTCTGCTTCTCTCCCCCCAGTGCCCCAGTTTGCTCCCCTCGGGGCCCTCTGACCTGTTGCTGGGGGTGGAGAAAACAGCCAGGACCACAGGCCGGCCCCCCAGGCTGACCACACCCGTGACGGCCTGCAGCACGTTGAAGTAGAAGTGGGAGTCCCCAGGCACAGAGCAGTTGAGCCGCGCCTTCAGGAAGGACGTCCACTGCTTCTCCAGCACCCGAGGGGAACCTCCCAGGTCATTCTTGCACACCCGGGCCACGCGGGACACCACCACCTGGTGCGACAGCAGATAAAATGGGGGCCTGAGCCCTGAGTCCGGGAAGGCTGCCCACAGGCCGCACTGGCCATCACCCAGGCCGGGATGGAGGAGTCTGTCACTGGCTCACCATGCGACCCCAGTTAGTCACCATACTCCTCTGAGCACCGCATTCCCCAGCAGAAACACGGGGATGTCAGGGATGGTCATCACAACCATGGCTATCCCAATCGAAATCTCACGTGTTTACGGATTGCTCACTATGTACCAGGATCATGGATCCTCATCATCTCCTACACTCCTCCCAAACTCTCCAAAGGAGGGGACCGATATCCCCATTGTACAGGTGGGGAAACTGAGGACCAGAGAAAGAGAAGTGACTGGCCCAACGTCACACTAGTAGTAAATGGGGAAGAATTCTCACTTAACTGTCCAGCTGCCTGGTGGAGTGAGGGACAGGACAGATGGGTAGATGGGTAGGTGAAGGGATGGCAGGATGAGTGGATAGATGGATGGATAGATGAACAAATGTGAAGGAGATAATGATGGATAGTTAGAAAAATAATGAAGGATGGGCGCCTGGGTGGCTCAGATGGTTAAGCGTCTGCCTTCGGCTCAGGTCATGATCTCAGGGTCCTGGGATCGAGTCCCGCATCGGGCTCCCTGCTCCTTGGGAGCCTGCTTCTCCCTCTGCCTCTCTCTCTCTCTGTCTCTAATGAATAAATAAATAAAATCTTAAAAAAAAAGAAAAAAAAGAAAAATAATGAAGGAGATGATGGATGGATGAATGGATGGATGGATAGATGGATGGGTAGAAGGATGTGTGTATGGATGAATGGATAGATGGGAGATAAATGGGTGGGTGGGTGGATGGATGGGTGGGTGCATGGATGGATGGATGGGTAAGTGGATAAATGGGTGGTTGCATGGAGGAGGAATAGATGGATGGGCAGATGAAGAAGAACATAAGGACAGATCAATGGATGAGTAGATCCATGAGTCGATGGATAAGTTGATGCATAAGTAGATGGATGAACGGATGCATGGGTAGATGGATGAGCGGATGCATGGGTAGATGGATGAGTGGATCCATGGGTGGATGGATGAGTGGATCCATGGGTAGATGGATGAGCAGATGTATGGATAGACAGAACATTGAATGGCATGGATGAATAAGTTATGGGGGGGTAGACAATTGGATATACCAAAGGGTAGACAGATATATGAAGAGATGAATGAGCTAAAAGAGGATAGATAAGTGGACGGTTAAGTATATGAATGAATGCACAGGAAGCTGGATAAATGGGTGAATAAGGAAATGAGTGGGAGGTAAGGTAGATGAGCGGATGGATGGATGGATGGATGATGGTTGAGTGGATGGGTGGGCAGATGGATAAATGGATAGATAGATGCATGAGTTGGTGGAATTATGGGTGGGCTGCAGAACACATAGATGGGTGAGTGAGTGAGAAGTGAGTGAGAAGGTGGCTAAGTAGGAGGGTAAGTAGGCAGATGGATGGACAGTGGATAAAGGATGGATAAATGGTTGAGAGATGGGTGGGTGGACAGGCGAATAGCAATAACACCAGGACTGGAACCCAGAGGTGTTACCTGCCTTCAAACCCATGAACCTCACCCAGGGCTGTGTGCACCAGGGCTGCTCCATTAATGTCTTCCAGCCTCAGAGGCCTGGTCCTGGCTGGAGTGGAGGGTCTTGAGGATCAGAGGTGGAGGGCAGAACCTCTTGCCCCAGGTGGAGATTCATGGATCCACCTCTACTCCCCACTTCCCATGACCAGAGCCTCTCAGCTCCATGCCCCAGAACCAGTGCCTCTCAGGGGTGGGAGAGAGAGGACCTCACCTTCTCCAGGTAGTTAAACTCCATCGCGATCTCCCGGAAGAAGAAGTAGATGTGGCTGCCCCACTCCACCGCATGGACAAAGTAGGGCTCTGTAGGAGAGAAAGGGTCAGAACTCAGCCCCTAACATGAGAAATGGAGATTCCAGGGCTGTGAACACATCAGCTCAGGTGAATGCTTTTACAGTGAAGGGGGGATGTTGGCCAATTACCCAGGCAAAAATAAAATAGACTCAAAGATGTTTTGGGGGGTGTTGGGTGTCCGAATCCTAAAATCACTGTGTCTACCCTCCACAAACAGCAACATCTACTATTTTTGTCACCTTCTTCCCTCATGTGTTGAAGAGCTAAGTTCCCGCTATATCCCTCTTGTTGTTCCATTTCAGGTTTCCAAACCACCCATTTCAGCAAGTTCTACTTTAGATCCAACTGAAATCTTTCCTCTAGCTTTGTCTTCAAAGAGGTCAGTAGGTTCCAAAGATGAGATGGGAGTCCCTCTCTGTCTCCTCTGGGACTCTTATTCTGGTGGGGGGATTTGATGAATGCTTGCCCCACCTTTGAACCACTTGGAGTCATGTTTCACAGTTCGCAGAGTGGGCCGGTCCCCCAGGCTGCGGTATATGACAGCATCGATGGCTAAGAAGTCAGTAACTGTGGCGGTGAAGAGCATTCCTTCTGGATGGGCGTGAGTTGAGGGGAAGCAGGTGAGAAGTTACATCACAGAGGCCAGGGGCAGGGTGGGCCAAAACCTGATCTTCCAAGACTGAGCCCAGAGCCCAAGGAAGCTCCTGTCCCTAGACCGAGCCCTGACCCCACCTAAGCCCGAGCCCAGGCTGATCTCCAGCTCCCCCAGCTGAGCCCTGACCTTGGCTGAGTGCTGACTGTGGCCGAGATTCTCGGTTTCACAGCCACCTTCATAATAACCCGCCTCCAAGAGTGGAAAATGCCACATGGGTCAGGGTTGGGGCCCCAGCAAATGGTCAGAGCTGGGGGCACTCACCAGAGAAGAGAGCAACGTTGGCATGTTTGGGGTCGTACGGGCAACGGGCCATGCCGCTAATGTTGTCCCCGAGGGGCTGCAGTGTGTCCATCTGCAGGGGGGATGGGGCCTGAGTGACAGCGCTCCTGGCCACACCTGGCAGCCCCCCCACCCCTGAGGAATCCTGCCTCCACCTTGGATGCTGTGATTTGGTCAGCCACTTAAACTCTCTAGAGCTTAGTGTACTGTTCTGCGAGCCGGTCTAAAAGTCAATTCTAGTTAATCCTATAACTGGCTTGTAGCTTAAGTGAGCTATGGCTTCCCGGATCTCCTTTGGAAGCCTCCTCTGGAGCTCCTGGTGAGCGGCCGAGGAGGGCATATCCAGGAAGGCTTCCCGTAGGAGGTGACGTGGTCTGGGGAAAGTGCCGGGCCAGCAGAGGGCAGGTGAGCCAAGACCAGGAGGTTGGACCTGGGGCATCAGGGCTTGGAAGGGCGGGGACTCACGCTGTAGTTGGCACACACGGGGTTGAAGGCATTGGAACCGCACACAAAGAGCGTGGATTCGTCCCGAAGAAGCAGCACCTTTACAAAATTTCGACACTCGCCCTGGGGTGGGGCGGGAAGACAGAAGCCATGGTGGGCGTGGTCACGGGTGTGGGCGTGCTTAGTATCGAGGGTTGGAGGGGCTGCGGGGCGGGGCCGGGGATGTGGGCGTGGCCAGGACTGGGACCACATCAGGGGTTGAAAGGCGACTGGATCTTCCAAGTGACTGAGGAACCCACCAAGGGGCAGAAATAATTTGCATCGGCGGCCACTGAAGGGATGGAGTTCCGGCAAGACCAAGGCTGGGGGCGTGGCCATGCCTGAGGACCACTTGGGGGCGTGGCCAGGCTCTCGGGGCACAGCCACGGCAACAGGAGGGTTCAGGCCCCGGATGGAGACAGAGGACCATATGCCCCGAGCTGGGCCGGGTTGGGGCGTGGCTGGAGGCGTGGCCAGGGCCCACTCACCTCCTGCTTGCCCTTCATCCGACACACGTTGATGTCACTGGGGTTGGAGGGCCAGGTCAGTTTCTGAGAGCAGAGGCAGCGGTGAGGGGAGAGGGATCCCTGCCGCCCAATTCTTGCTCCCCAGCCCGTGTCAGGGCCCCCTGGCAGGAGCTGCAAGTGCTGCCCCCACCCCTCCCACCTGGGCCCCCTCCTCACCTGCTGGTACCGCAGCTCCGTGGTCGTGGGGGGCTCCAGCTCCACCCGGTACAGGTTGTCCCTAGGGGAGAGGTGCAGCTAGTGAGGATGGGAGCCTCAGCCCCCCCGCCCCCACTCTCCATTCCCCTGGCGGCAGAAGTGTGTCCCATACGTAACGTGCAGGGGTGTGCCAGCGCCTCAGCCACGAGCGACTGCAACACTGAACATGCCCCCGCGTGCTCGTGCGTGCCATCACACGCCTCCTCCGGTCCTGAAGTGACCCACAGGTTCCAGCACACCCCATACTCCTTGACATGCCACCTCACGCTTACACGCCCCACGGCCTTGGGGGCCTACTCCCAACATGATGAACTGTCCAGTGCCCTTCATCAGGTGCCATCGGGTGCCCCTCCCGCCACCTCTCAGTCTCCCCAGGCTCTTCCCCCCCGCCCCCACCGCAGAAACTGCCAGCAGTCACTTCCCTGTCCTCCTCCCCCTCGTGCAGTGTCTCACCTTGTGCCCCCCTCCTTCTCCTGGGAACTCCTCACGGACCCAGCTCCCCTCCCACCTCTCCAGCCCCTCGGTCTCTCACCGCTCCCCCGATGCCCAGGCTGGGTCCTCGGGCCTCTTCCCTCCCAACCGCTCCCTTCCCGGGCAGCCTTGTCCACTCTCCCCACCCCTGTCTATGGCAGGACGACGCCCACAGTCCTGTCTCCAGACGGGCCCTCCCCTGAGCTCCAGACTTGGGGGTCCAGATGATCCTGGAGGTCTCTTTGCGGGGCTTCCCGGGGCGTCTCACACTCAGCTCGACCACGCTGCACCCAACTGTCCCCACACCTGCTCCTGCCTTGTCGCTCATCTCGGCTGAGGCCACTCTGTCCTTCCAGGGGCAAAGGCCACAACTTGGGAGGCACCCTCAACTTGTCACTTCTCCTCGCCTCCCACACATCAGCCAATAGTGTCAGCTCTGCCTTTAATGTCTACCAAGAATTTACCCACTTCTCATGCACTCCACGGCCACCACCCTAGTCCACCCTGAACCAGGGCAGTCACCTTCGGCTTGGTCCCCCTGGCTCCAGCCCTCGGTCCGTCCTTCCCACAGCAATCAGAGGGTACCCATGAGCACCTGAGTCGGGACCCCCCTCCTCTGCCCACAGCCCCCCAGGGCTCCCTCCTCACTGGGGTAAAAGCCCATGTCCTCCCTGTGGTCCCCAAGACCCCACACGACCTGCCCAGTCCCCTCCCCGCCTTCCCTTCCTCCCCATCTCCCCGTCACCCACTCTGCTCCAGCCAATCGGGCCTCCTCAATGTTCTTCCAACACGCCAGGCCGGATCCTGCCCCAGGGCCTTTGCATAGATTGTGCTCTCTGCCCAGATTTTCTCCCTCTCCCCCGAGATGTCCCCATGGCTGGCTCCTCATCACTCAGGTCTCAACTCAAATGTCACGTTCTCCGAGAAGCCCTGGAGCCCCACATCAGCACCTTCTGTAGAAACCCAGGGAATTCTGACCAAAGAACTGTCCCCACCTACAAACACACCATAGCCGACTCCAGACTGTAACCACAAGTGGAGTTCAGTCAGCAGCCTTTATATAGTCCCACCCCAAAGATGCCAATTTGTACTCCAGCCAAACAATATGGTCCATCGTGCAAACCTCCCCAAAATGCCACCACCTGCTCCCCACACCTCACCCTGCACTCTCTGCCGGACAATCCCTCATACCTCTCCCCGATGAACAGGGTCCTGTTGACCCGCAGGACTCGCTGGATGTTAAGGTCGTCAGCACCCTCTGCGGGGGTCAGGCGTCCTGGCCCGCTGCCCACGAACACGGGGTAGTGGTTCAGGTCTGGGGGAGGGGTGTGATCCAGGGCTGGGGTGAGCCTGGTCTGGTGAGCCCTGAGGGAAGTGGGCAGCCGACCCAGCTGGGAAGCAAGACCCTCCCTCCGGACTCCTGCTTCCCCCGGGACCCCCACTCACAGTCCCTGGGGGCCACGCTAAGTGGCGGCGGCTCCTCGGGGAAGAGGCAGTTGGCTCCCCCCAGTAGCAGCAGTAGGAGCAGTGGGGCCGGGCGAGGAGGGGGCGCTCGCGGGGTCCGCATGGCGAGGTCGGGGCGACGAGAAGTGAGACCTGCGGGCGAGAGGCTTGGCGGTGAGCTGCTCTGCCTGCAGTTCCGCCCTCCGCCGAGAGATGGCGCACGCGAGCCGCAGTGGCCTGGACCTTCAAGTACCCGAAAACCACTCCCCACGGGGTCATAATAAAACATAACACAAACCTCGGCAATATTAGTAACGCCAGCACTTATTTAATTATCAGCAAGACTTTCTGACCACATCGTAGTGAGAGCTCCGGAAACGGTTTCGAACCAAAAACTAATAATGACAATATTTAAATGACTTTGAAATAAAATCATATTAAATAATTAAAAAAACAAATAATCACGATAATGATAGACACAACACTTAACAACACGTACTTAAATAATTCAATCTCAAAACATATATTCAAGAAATCTTACAATTAAAACAACAATCCTGGGGCGCCTGGGTGGTTCAGTCAGTTCAGCGACTGACCCTTGATTTCCGCTTAGGTAGTGATATCAGGGTCCTGAGATTGAGCCCCTCGTCGGCCTTCCTGCTCAGCGCGGAGCCTGCTTGTCCCTCTCCCTCTTCTCCTCCCCCCCCGCCCCACCGCTTGCTCGCTCTTTCTCTCAAATAAATTAATAAATATATAAAATCTTTAAAAAAATAAACCACAACAATCTTAAAATGAAAGGCTTAAAAAAATTTTCAGTCTCGGGGCGCCTGGGTGGCTCAGTCGTTAAGCGTCTGCCTTCGGCTCAGGTCATGATCCCAGAGTCCTGGGATCGAGCCCCACATCGGGCTCCCTACTCGGCGGGAAGCCTGCTTCTCCCTCTCCCACTCCCCCTGCTTGTGTTCCCTCTCTCGCTGTGTCTCTCTCTGTCAAATAAATAAATAAAATCTTTAAAAAAAAAATTTTTTTTCAGTCTCTCAGAATTTTATAAACCACAATCTGAGAGTTGCCATACTTTAGAATCTTAGAATGTTCCAGCTGGCTGGGGACCTCAGAGGGGCCCCGGTGAGTCTGACTTCCTTCCCAAGTCCAGGCTTTCTGGCCTCTGCTGGAATACCTCTGTGACAGGCACCTCACTACCCCTCAAGGGAGCCTGCTTCCCGCTCCTGTTCAAGGTAATTTGGAGAACCTGCCCGGTTGTGCAGCGTGGAGACTCCCTCCGGGTGATGATCGGTTGGTGGAAGTGTGAGCAGAACTCACCCTCTGGAACCCAGCCCTCCACATCCCTACCAGCAGGGGTGCAGTCTGGAGGTCCCGAGTAAGAAGCCTGCAGCCTCGTCCTTCCGGGAAGCCACAGGCAAGCCCTGTGCCTCAGTTTCCCCGTCTGAGCAGCAGGGACATCGCCACGCCCTGTCCTGGCCTCAGAGCTCCAAGATTCTGAAACCCTGGAGGTGAAGGTGGTCAGGACCTTTGGCCCTGGAGTGCCTGCCTCTGAGGACTCAGGGCCAAAAAACAGGAAGGCCTTGCGAGGACCAGCAGAGCTTCCTCTCCACGACCCTGGACTTCCAGTATTTGTGACTCAGCAGATGCCCGGATCCCACGTGTTCGGGGGACATGCTTCTGCTTCCTTAAGAGCTTCCTTCCCTGGCTCCTCCCTTGCTCTGCAGCCTCCCATGGCTCCCAGTAACCCCGATCTAGGTCCCAGCCGCTGCATTGCAGTCAAGGCCCCCAGTGTGGCCTCCAGCCTGCTGCTGCCTACTCCACCCCCAGGCCGCTGCCCTCCCCACCCCAGTCTCCTCCCCCACAACACCTGCCTGGGTCATCCCGGCCTCTCAGGTGCTCTGTCCTTTTTTTTTTTTTTTTTTTGATAAACATTTTTCTTTTTATATTGTGTTAAATATATATACCATAAATTTACCATCTTAACCATTTTTAAGTGCAACAGTTCAGCGGCATGAAGCACACTCACACTGTTGTGCAACAATCCCCACCCTCCGTCCCCAGAACTTTCCATCTCCCCACATGGAGACTCTGTCCCCATGAAGCACGGACTCCCCACCCCCTGCCCCAGCCCTGGCTCCCACCATCTCCTCTCTGTCTCTGTGGACGGGACTCCTCTGGGGACCTCCTGGGAGTGGGGTCTGTGCGATGTGTCCTTCTGGGTCTGGCTCCTCTCACCGAGCGCAGTGTACTCGGGGTCCCTCCACGTCGTGGCAGGTGTCAGGGTCCCTTCCTTTCTAAGGCCGGAGAGTGTTCCCTCGTGGGGACTGACCGCATGGTGTTTATTCATTCACCTGCTGGACACTGAGGTTGTCTCCACCTCTTGGCTGTTGTGAATAAGGCTGCTATGAACTTGGGGTTGCAAACATCTCTTTGAGACCCTGCTTTCAATTCTTTTGTGTATAGACCTACGATCACACGGTAGTTCTTTTTTTTTTTTAAGATTTTATTTATTTATTTGAGAGAGAGAATGAGAGAGAGAGAGCATGAGACGGGGGAGGGTCAGAGGGAGAAGCAGACTCCCTGCCGAGCAGGGAGCCCGATGCGGGACTCGATCCCGGGACTCCAGGACCATGACCTGAGCCGAAGGCAGTCGCTTAACCAACTGAGCCACCCAGGCGCCCTTGGCCCACGTTTTATCAGAATAATATTTAACGTAAGAACCTTCCAAACAAAGCTTCCATTCACTGGCCATGCAGGGCTCCAGAGTCAGGCTGCAAGGGTTCAAAACCCAGCTCTGCCATTTACATGCTGTGTGATCCTGGACAGGTTCTGTCTCTGGGCCTCGGTTTCCTCATCTGTAAAATGGGCATGGGAACTGTACTGATCTCATAGGCCTGTGGCGGGTGTTAGCACAGCACCGGACACAGCGCACGTGCTCAATAAATGCTAATTATTATGATTCCTGTTGTTGCTGTTGCCATAGTAAGGACCAGAGGTTGGGGCTGGCTGGTTTCCAGGAATTACTTCACAGAGCCCCCACTGGCTCTAGCAGGAGCGGTGTAACAGTCAGCCCATTCTGCAGATGTGAACACTGAGGGTCTGATTTGGGGGCCATGGTCCCACCAGAGAGGATGTGGCAGTTGGGTCGAACCCAGGGCTCTCTGGCTCCAGGATCTTGCTCCTAGGTGTTGAGCATCCTAATGACCATAACAAGATCAACAATCACCCAGCCCATTCCCTCAACCCTCAACCCAGACAGGCTAGCAGTAACTTAATACCCAAGTGCATGGACAGGCAGACTGAGGCCCCAGGTCAGGATGGGACCTCACGGCTAACTTTTTCTCCTGGTTTTCTTAACTTTGTGATGCAGCAACTGGAGGCTGGGAAGGGGTTCATTTGCCCCCTCTGTCCACCTGCCCCCAGCCCCAGAGATCCATCCAAGGACCCCTGAGGACCCACACTGGGCTTTCCTTGCCCGAACCTGTTTCTCCTACCAGTTCCTCGACTTACGAACAGCCCCGGCATCCCTTAGCCAAAGAATGGGGTGTTGACCTCCCTGTCCCCTCCCTGTCCCGAGTGCTCTGTAGCCCAGCCCCCACCTCCTCCTACCTGGTCTCCCGGCCTCCAATCCTGCCCCTTCAGTATCCTACTCAAGGTAGCAAAGGAATCTTTCTAGAACTCAAATCTCACCTGTTTTTCCCCTGCTCTAAACCAGGCACTGCTGACATTCAGGGCGACTATTCTCTCTGGGGGGCTGTCCTGGGTACTGTGGGGGTGTTGAGCAGCATCCCTGGCGCCCCCACTTGATGCCAGGAGAAACCCCAGTGTGACAACCACAGATTTCCCCATTTATCCAGCGTCCCCTGGGGGGCAAAACCAGCCCCAGCTGAGAACTTCTGCTCTGAACCCTTCTATGGCTCCCCAGTATCCTCAAAATGAAGTCCCAGCTCCTCCCCTCCATTCCATCTCCACCTCTGGACATCTGCACATGCTGCTCCCTCTGCCTGGCACACATTCCTCCTGCTCCCAGTAACCTGGTAAACTTGTTCTTCTCAGACACCTCCTCCAGGAAGCCTTCCCAGATCAGCCCGGATGGGCTTCCTCCAGGCTCCCACGTGCCTGTGTGTCCCCTATTAGCGCCCTGATCCCCCTACCTTCTAACTGCCTGTCTGTCCGTCTTCCCCACTGGACTGTGAGCCTCCTGGGAGGGCAGGACAGGGTCTTGGCCACCACTGTGTCCCCAGCACCCAGCACAGGGCCCTGCATACAGTGGAAGCTCAATAAATAATAAAGATAGCAAACACCAAGCACTTACTATGTGCCAAGCATTGTAAAAATCCACACAGCACACCCAAGAGGTGGGTGTTGTTAACATGCCCCTTATACAGATGGGGAAACCGAGGCGCAGAGCGGCGACATCATGGACGAAAATGGAGCTGAGGCTGAAACCCACTCGGTCAACATTAGTTATTCTGATTATAATGCAGAACTGAACCCCACATGCTTTTTTGGGGGAGTCCACTCCCACTCACTGCACCTGGCCTCAGTTTACCCCCTGCCCTGGGGTTACTGGAGGCCTCAGCACCTCCCCCCCCACAAGACCATCTGCTTCTCTCCATGAAACTCGCAGCGCCTCTGTCAGCAGCCACCCGGCACCCGGCCGCCCGGATGAAGCCCCACCCCCTGCCCGAGCACCTGGCCACCGGAAGCCCCCACCAGGGCCAGATGGGGGCGCTGCGTGGCCAGCCTGTGCACCCCGCGGCCTGGGGGGGGCATCCCTTCACCCACGTGTTTGTCTGCCCGTGGAAGGGGCGTGCCTCCTGCCTGCAGCCCTGGGGACACACAGGAGAGACCGTCATAAGGCCACAGAGCGCCAGCCCCCATCCAGGAGGCCTCATGCTGTGGCAGGGACTCTCTGCTGGAACCCCGACCATCACTCCAACTCTTGGCACACGGTCCCATTGTACAGATGAGAAGACTGAGGCAGAGGTAGAAATCCCTCAAAGCCACCCTACTTTACTTCTCAGGTCCTCAGGTGGCCCCTGGACCGGACCGTCTTCCCGTCTTCCCTGCACCTCAGTTACCCTAACTTTGACATAGGCTCCAGTTTCCTTCTGGAAAACCTCCCACCTGGCCCTTCGTCAGGCCAACGT